GTCGCTGAAATGAGCCTCCCTCCTCGGGGTTGAACATCGCGCCGGCTCGTTTCTCTGCCTAGCCGGCACCGTGTATCATGACGCCGGGCCGGGCCATTCCCCTTGTGAGCACCCGCCATTGCGGGCATCCCATGGTCTATGACATCCCTTCTACGCGGGCATCTCCCTCCGTCGAAGCATCGAGAGAGCCTCCCACCTCTACTTGACGACCACACGGATGGTACATAGTCTCGCCATCTGGCTCGGGCCAAAAGATGTGTTCGCCCAGCGAGCACCTGCTCGGCCCATGTCACCATTGTCACCATTGCCGCCGCCGCGGCATCCGGTCTCGCTTGGGAGGCAACCGCCCAGGTCCGCCAAGTTCGTGCTCCTATCGAACATGCGACAACCCGGTGACTCATACTCGAAACCACCAGTGCCCGAAACCAACATGGAGACCGGCTCGCCCTCGTGGCAACGCCCGGCGAGTTTTTATGCGCGCCCCGAGGGCTCATTCGCGGCGCCACAGCTCCGTCAGGAATTCATGGTACAGGTCCCAGGGATCGGACCTGTTGGTGCCGTGGGTTTTGCTTTCCCCTTTGTGAACCTGTACACACGTGCAAGGGTTGTAAATGTTACATTTGTTGGTAGGAGCTTGATACTCCTGTTGTTCGTAGGCTCGGGGAATGTTTGTGTTTGACAGTCGTCTCGGTGGGGAGGTAAAACCGTACATTTGCGCACGGGAGAGAGAGGAAGAGAGATGCAGCAGGTGGATCCTGGACATAGCCCAGCGATCCCGTGATCGCTGAGCGCTGTGGGGCTGCATTCGCGTGCTCCTCCTCGCTTTCCCGTCAGGCACGCGCCCACCAGCTGGGCTCAACAATATTGATGGATCATCTTGTCGCGCCGGAAACGCGTCGTGCAGGTTTCAGTATTAAATAAGGTATTGTCGAAGTGGAAACAAGTGAAAAAAGACATGCCTTTGGCTGTGATTTTTTTCGGGGAAGCTATGTACTAATAGCAAGCCAAATTAGGAAACCGTTATCAGATCGCAGCCTCTACAGTCTTTGGAAGGTGTCGGTGTTTCCACTCCTGTTCATTTCTATTCCTGTTTCCTCGATTCTATTCCCGAATGGGCTGTGGATCCTGCAAGGTGAAAGCGGGTGGGGTGTTTGCAATACCAAAGAACCAGGCAGACTCTTAGCAAACCAACTACTTGACTCTTCCCAATAGCCAGCGAAACTCCCGACACTCACAGCCGCTTTCAGTTCCCCAGACCTTCCTTGTCGCTTACGGCCATCACGCACTCATTACTCTTTATCGATACTATCACGATATGGATGACCGGGGCAACCATGACCCCGACGATGGCAATGTCGCAGCTTATTTCTTCCCAGCTATAGGTACCCAGGGATATTACGGCGCTAAGCAAAGCATCGAAGCGCTTAAGAAGGCGAGCCCGCTGTACCTGCGCCCAAGGCGCCAGACGCCGCAACCGGGCCCTGCGGGAATCCCCACAAGGCAGGAGCTACAGCAGACGGCGGGAAGGGGAGGTGACAAGGACAGCGATCTGGACTGGGAGCCTTGTATACGGGTGACCTTCGACAGCATCCTCAAGACCCGCCATGGCCTCAGGGTCGGCAGCTCCAAAGACGTCGAGTTCCAGGTTCCCAACATCAGCAGACGTCATTTTGCGCTGACCTTCGACGACAGCCACCGCCTTGTCATCCAAGACCTAGGGTCCACGGACGGCACCACCGTCATCTATGACAAGCAAAAACTGGGTCCATGGCGGGACTTCGGCTGGGTCGTGGGAGGTCCCCAGTTTCTACAGAAAGTAGACGAGGTCGACGTCAGGGTGACTAAAATGGTGCAGTTCCGACTCATCATACCTCGACACGATTACAGGTCCGAGTCCTACCGGGACAGAGTGGACAAATTCCGCATCGGTACGACGCGTGCGATGGACAGCCCCGATTATAGTAGCGGTTCCTTCGACCTGTCCTCCATCGTCCCCACAGTCCCCCAGCTGGATGCCCCAGCAGTGTCCCCTGCCCCTGCCCCCGGAGTGGAAGTGACAATACGAAAGATATTGGGCGCGGGTAACTTTGGGGAAGTCTACCACGTCTGGGACGTCAGGACCGGCACGGAGTATGCGCGCAAGGAAATGAAAAAAGCCCCAGGCCTTGATCTTGCTACTCTTGTTCGTCTGTGGAAGCAGGAGATTGGCATCATGAAGAAGATCCGCCACGTTTGTGCCCCATTTATCTCTCATCACCCTTAACCTGCTGCAGATCGCTAACCTTTCGTTCACAGAAGCACATTGTGTCGTTGAAACGCTGGAGTCTGGAGCCGTTGCCGTGGCTGGATCTGGAATACATGCCCGGGGGCTCCATCCGCGACCACCTCAGTTCTCACGGCGAAACAGCATTCACCGAGCGTGAATGCGAGCAGATGCTTCTGCAGTCTTTGGACGCCCTGGCCTACTTGCACTCGCACTCGCCAGGCTGCATCATGCATAGAGACATCAAGCCTGACAACATCCTGATCTTGCACCGCCGCAAAGACGAGCTATTCATCAAGCTCGCAGACTTTGGCTTGTCAAACGAGGGAGCTGAGCGTGGATCCGTCTTGGGCACAGACCGCTACCTGGCCCCTGAGGTACATGAGGTACGCACCTTCAAGAAGAAGCGTTATACAGCTCTTGTGGACATCTGGTCCCTGGGGGTTGTTCTCGTCGAGCTCCTATGTAAACTCCCCAAGCAGGAGAGCAGCGGAGTGCGTTGGTGCAGGAGGATCCGCGAGTGGGCGGGAGAGAAACATGGGCAGAATCATCTGCAAGGCCGACGAAAGGATTTGCTATCGTTCGTTCTGGACTGGATGCTCTGCCTCGACACAGATGACCGAAAGACGGCGAAGAAGTGCCACGAGGAGGCCCTCAAACTCTGGCCGGACAGCAATATCGCTCCCGAAAGCGGTAGCGATCGAGGAGAAGAGAACCGCTCCCACAGGGCCCCGCCCCCCGAGACGGCAGCCTCGACGGCAGTCCCGCCCCCCGAGACGGCAGCCTCTCCTTCCGAGACGGCAGCCGAGACGGCAGCCGAGAAGGCAGCCGAGACGGCAGCCCCGCCCCCCGAGACGGCAGCCTCGCCTTCCGAGACGGAAGCCCCGCCCTATGCAAATGTAGGTGTACAGCAGATGCTGGAATGGCTCCACGATCCTCAGGGCAGCGGATTTTACGAATCCAGCGTCGGGGGTGTCTCGAACTGGGATTCTGGCTCGAACTGCATCAGCAGTGGCGGCAACACCGTTCGGAACACCACTGTCGAGCCGCGGGAGCGAGAAGATGGGCCGTCGGGTGCCCCAAGCCGGGAGGCGCTTCTCGATGAAGAGGCTAGTGCGACGCGCTCGGCCAAGAGACCCAGGTCCACCAGCACGTAAGTGCCATTTCCACTATCCACCTTTCATCTATGGACATGGAAACTAACGCAGTCATCATTTTTCATTTTTCATAGGGGCCCTGGTTCTGAGAGCCCTCGGGGGTTGTCGGCTGGGGGAAGCAAGCGGCGTAGGGAGGAATAGGACTGTGTGGGAGTGGCTAACCACAACCGGTGGCTGTGTGGAATGGGAGCAACTGTGATGGGATGCAAACGGCATGCATGGAAGAAACGGAATTGTAACTGAGGCGGCATTCCAGTGAGGCTGGGCATCTTTACAGAGAGATAGAGGCACGTACCCGCCACCCCCGCCTGTTCCCCTATAAGTCATCGCAGGGGTGGCTTGGGGTTCGGCTTCTGTGTGATTATTCTGTATTCCATGAAAAAAAAAACCTACCCGTCTCCCGCCAGCTCCACAGCCTCAAGTCCTCGACAACCTCCCACGCAGGTCAGAACAAGGAAGTCATGCATTCTCCCGTAATCAGCCACGCATGCGGTTTTTCACGACCGGTTGACGCAAGTAACCTCTCCTGGCGGCTGGAGGGAATCCCACTTGAACCAGACGATCGTCCGGTGTCGCAGCATCGCCCGATACAGATGAACTCCCCGATTCCCGAATCAAATCCCATCGTGTACAATCCCTGCGGCTACGATACCAAGTGCTACCAGGCGCTCCTCGACGACAACGGCCGGCCGCTGTTCGACGCCGACCTCCTGTGGGGTATCAGAATGGACCCGGACGCGTACGCCGAACTGCTGTGGCCGTGGAGCGTAGATGACGATGACTTCGTAGCGGGTCCCGATAAGTGGCGCGCCCTTTCAAGACAATGGGACCGGTGGAAGGACTTTCGCGAATGGCAGCTGCACGGAAGACGCAGGAAGCCCGGGTTTGAGGAATATCTCGGCACGTACAAGCGCGACCTCCTCATGACGGCCAAGGGCCGCGAAAGCGTGGCTAGCCCGAGCTTCGAAGAAGATGCGCGCAAGAGATGGGAGCGGGAGTATCACGACTGCGGCGAGGCCGAAGAAGACGTCGAAAGGCACACCGAGGACGTGAGGTCATGGCTTCCCCAAGGGTTCGTTCCCCGGCGGCCCCTGAAGCTGCTGCCGGACCCCAAAGCGCAGGACCAGTGGACTACGTTTGTCGAGTATCTCGCCTTCGAGGAGTTTACGCTCTTCCCGCTCGCCAGGACCGCGCGGGAACAGGAGGAGGCCAGGGAGTGGGGCTACGAGAAGCACAAAGCTATAGCCGACCAGCAGCAGGGCAGGGTTGATTGGGTGGTTGTCTGAAATCGAGAAAATTGAGGGGGAACAGCAGGATGTGGCAGGCGAGGGCAGCAGCGGCAGAGCTGGCAGCGCCGAGAAAAGGGGGCCTACGGACGACACTGGCGGAGTGCAGGACATGGTGGAGTCGCAGCCGGGGAAGCGCAGGCGGGTGGAGGAGACGGACGAAGACACGGCAAACAAGGGCACGACGGGCAAAGACAAGGACACGACGGACGAGACGGAGGAGGCGCCAGACAAGGGCAAGACAAACGAGGCAAAGGAAACAGAGGAGGCGCTTAACAATGACAAAGCAGACGAGACGGAGGAGGCGGAGGAGGCGGAAGAGGTGGAGGAGCCGGCAAACGAGGAGGAGCCGGCAAACGCAACGGAGGAAGCGCCGCCAAGCACAGCGGAAAAGGCGCCACCAAACGAGGAGGAGGAGGAGGCAGATGAGAAGGAGCCGCCGGCGGAGGAGGAGCCGCCAGTGGAGGAGGAGCCGCCAGTGGAGGAGGAGGAGCCGCCGGCGGAGGAGGAGGAGCCGCCGGCGGACGCAATGGACGCGCCGCCAGACGAAATAGATGAGGCGCCAGACGAGGAGGCGGCGCCAGACGAGGAGGCGGCGCTAAACGCAACGGAGGAGGCGCTGTCAAACGGGGAGGAGGCGGGCGATAAGAAGGATGAGGCAGACAAGGAGGATGAGGCAGACGAGGAGGATGAGGCAGATGAGGAGGAGCCGCCGCCAGATGCGGAGGCACAAGATGATGATGCGCCGCCAGACGAAACAGAGGAGGCGCCAAACGAAGATGCGCCGCCAGATGCGGAGGCACAAGGTGATGAGGCGCCGCCAGAC